CTCCCTCCCCCCCCCCCCAATCCCTATCACTTTTCAGTGCCTTGCTCCTCAAATCCTTTCCCCACTCTGGTGAGCCACTACCCTAGCAGCACTGCCATCTCCCGAGTGGTCCATTCATGGAGCTGTGTGCTGCGGGTGGACCTGGCAGCTGAAATGATGCAGGTGACCCCCAGGTCCTCGGGCAGGACCACCCAGGCCCAGGGCTGGCCACTACTTCAGGTCATTGTTGATAACCACACTGTCATGCATGTCACTGTAAGTTGTCATCTTCTTCCTCTTGCCAAAGGTGGAGAAGCTGTTCTTGTTCTCCCGGCCCAGGAAGAGGGGCCCATCTTTGCTGGAAAGCAGCGTGGGGGTACCAGGGATGTAGACATTGTGCTGATAATCCAGGGCTGGGACGTGCCCTGGGTACAAAGGGCTGTACTGGGATGTCCAGATGCTGTTGGTGCCTGCCGAAGCCTTCTGAAACTCTGAAGGGAAGATGAGTGTGAGACTGGCTCAGGGGAGGTCACATCCAGAGCTCAGTGGGACAATCACATCTATGTCCCATGGTGCAAGTGTCACCAACCTCCCTTCTGGAGCCTGGACACCCCTTCCTCCCTGCAAAACTCTAACACTGCTAGGAACAGGGATGTGTCCTCCCCACTGTACTTCCACCAAGCAACAAGAAGGTCTGGTCTTCCCAGCCTAAGTGCCCAATACTAACCAGAGACAGGGGTCACCAGTGTGCACAGCCTCTCGTGCTCCTTCTGAAAGGCTCTGCGGATTTCCCCTATGTCTTCCAGGCTCTGGGAGCTAAAGAGAAGAGGCTGGTTTGAAGCTGTGTCAGAAATAACCTCCCCCTCCCCACATTGCCTTCCACTCCCTCCCTCTGTTCCCACAGTGCCGGATTTGGTACCTCTTCAGGGCAGGTCGCTGTGTGCTTGGAGGCAGCCAGTCCGTGTTGGGCTGCTTGATCTGGAAGACACAGGGAAGGACAAGGCTGGTTATCAGGACCCTCTGTTATCAGCCCAGCCCTGCCAGGACCAGGCTTCAGCAGCCAGGGATGCAGGACCCTGTCTCCTCTTTCCCCATGCCCTTTGTGGAGAAACAGGCAGCACGTTCCTATTTTAGGGAAACGGGGGCACCGTTGAACCAGCCTGTTCCCTTCTGGACCTCCTGAGACATTGGCGTTGTTCGGGGCTTGCTATCTGCCTTTGGGAGTTTTGTTGCCAAGATCTGTCTTTCTGAGGCTTTGCCTACTCTGGTTAATTTTAAAAAGCCTTTTCTGCAGGTGTGATGGTGATTTAGCCCAGGTCTCAGGCACCAGAGGGTTTGAGATGCAGAAATTGGCTGCATACCCAACATCCCAGGGGGGCTACAAACACCTAAGGGAAAATCCCATTAACATATTAGAGAAGTGAGTCCAGCGGTGCAAGGAGACATGTGGAGAGAGCCTCTTGGCAGCAAGTCTTGGGCTCTCCTTGGATGGGCTGTTTCATTAAAAGTCAAACGTAAGTGGATTAGACGCCTCATCACTCTCTATCCTTGTAATCGTGTTTTGGAAAGAGTCTTTCATCGGGAAAATTAAACATCCCTCATTTCAATACCTAACAAATGTTGACATCAAAATTCTGCCCTGAAGACCCCACTCCCTCCCCACCAGCACAGCCCGGTGCAGCACGGCTGCCAGGGTGCCAGAACTGGGGACACAAGAGGTGCCAGCGGGGTCAGGACCAGCCCCACATGCAGCAGCAGGACACTGCAGACCCCCACCAGGCAGGGGACGTGGAGCTGCAGCAATGCTTAGGCTGTCACCTCGTGAATTGCTCACCTGCACAAAGGAGATGCCACCTCCACCACCCCACCATCCTACCTCCCCTGGGGCACTGGAGCATCTCCATTGCCTCTGATGGGTGCAAAAGGCAGTGGGAAGGGATTTCCTCTCACCTCAACTGAGCCTGACACTCCCCTGGTAATTAGACCAGTTGGGAAGCTCAGTGGAGAGATTCCCACTGCCTAACGGCTCCTAATTCCCACACTGATCAAAGGCACTGGTTATTCTCCAGGAAAAGCCATGCCTGGTTTCTCTCAGGCAGAGGCTGAGGGAGGGGCCTGGGGGGAATCGCAGAGCACCGGTAAGCATCGTCAGGCACGGTGTTACCTGCTTGGAGACCTGGAGACGCTGGCCCGGCTGGGACCACTTCGCAGGGTCCTTCTCATTGTTCCGGGGAGGGCTGCAGGGTTTGAGGAACATGAAGTCACTCTGGGCAGACTCAGGACCAAGGCAGACCTTGTAGCAGTATCCCGGGGGGCCACCCCCCGGCATGTCAAGGCAGGTGGTGGCCGTGGTCCCCGTGGGCGGTTGCGCCGTCAGGTTGGATGTCTTCAGGCCATCAGAGGAAGGTCTGGACCCAGGGCAGCAGTGGCAGCGGGGTGGTGAGCAGCTGTCACCTTGGCAGGAGCGCCTCTCTCCACGGCACCGAACGGCTGTGAGGATGAGGATGGCAAGAAGGAAGGTGAAGGAGATGGAGCCCAGCGAGACAAGGAGGTAGAGGGTGAGTGGGGAGGATGAGGAGGTCTCTGGGGGGAGGCTGAACTCGCTGAAGTCAGAGAGAGTCTGTGGCATGGTTTCCACCACAGAAAGCAGGAGGGACACCGTGGCAGAGAGGGCTGGCTGCCCGCCGTCCCGCACCTGCACCACCAGCTGCTGCCGGGTCACATCCTGCTCCAGAAAGGAGCGCAGGGTGCGCAGCTCACCCGTGTCTGGTGCCACACTGAAGAGGGTGAAGTCAGTGGCCTGGAGGAGCTGGTAGGTGAGTCGGGAGTTCAGCCCTGCATCCGCGTCCACTGCCGACACCGTGCCCACGAGGTAGCCGGGCCTGGCTGAGCGTGGCACCAGCTCAGTGGCCACGGAGCCATTGTGCGGCATGGGGGAAACGATGACTGGAGCGTTGTCGTTCTGGTCCAGCACGAAGATGTGGACGGTGACATTGGTGCTGAGCGGGGGGAAACCCGCATCCTGTGCTTGCACCTGGATCTGGAAGCTGCGGATCTGCTCGTAATCGAGGGAGCGCAGGGCATACATGTGCCCGCTGTCTGAGTTAATAGACACGTAGGTGCCCACGGGCATGCCATGGATGTGCCCATCGGCAATGGAGTAGGACAGGTAGGCGTTCTGTTGGCAGTCAGGGTCCAGCGCACTGACGGAGCAGATGGAGGCCCCGGGCGCGTTGTTCTCCATCACGTAGACGCTGTAGGAGGGCTGGAGGAAGCGTGGGGCATTGTCGTTCACGTCGGACACTGGCACAGTGAGGGTGCTGCGGGTGAGCAGGGCCGGGGAGCCCATGTCCCGTGCTGTGATGCTCACATTGTATTCGGGCACTACCTCCCGGTCCAGCGCCTGCGTGGTGACCAGCGTGTAGTAGTTGCGGAAGGAGGACCGAAGCTCAAAGGGCACATCAGGGCTGACCTCGCAGCTCACCTGCCCGTTGTCCCCAGAGTCCCGGTCCAGAACGCTGATGACAGCAATGACGGTGCCTGGTGGGGCATCCTCCAGCACAGGTGTGGACACAGAGGTGAGGGTCACCTCTGGGGCATTGTCATTGACATCAAGGAGGTGCACAAGCACCCTGCAGTGCACAGCCACGGCCGAGGGGCCACGGTCCTTGGCTTGCACATAGAGCTCATGGAGACTTGCCCGCTCGTAGTCCAGGGGGCCCTTCAGCAGCACCCGCCCGCTGCGGGGCTCTATGTGGAAGAGCTCGCGGGCTCGCGGTGGCGCGTGCCCACTGAAGGAATACTCGATCTCCCCGTTGGGACCTTCATCCAGGTCGGTGGCATTGAGCTGGATGACCAGGGTGCCGGCAGGAGCATCTTCAGGAAGGCTCACGCTGTACGAGGGCTGGTCAAAGACGGGCACATTGTCATTGGCGTCCAGCACCGTGACGAGGATGTGAGCCGTGCCCGAGCGCTCGGGGACGCCGCCGTCAAGCGCGGTGAGCAGCACCCGGTGCACGCGTTGCTGCTCGCGGTCCAGGGCGCGCTCCAGCACCAGCTCCGCAAACTTGGTGGCATCGCTGCGCGTCTGCACCTCGAGGGAAAAAAACCCGTTGGGGCTGAGCCGGTAAGTGTGCACCGAGTTGGTGCCCACGTCGGGATCCTGGGCGC